TGGTGTTCACATAGTGATCAGATGTGGCGTTAACATGGTGATACGATGTGGCGTTTACATGGGGATAAGTCGTGATGTTTACATAGTGATAAGATGTGATGTTCACATAGTGATAAGATGTGATGTTCACATAGTGATAAGATGTAGTGTTCACATAGTGATAAGAAGTGATGTTCACATACTGATAAAAGTGGTGTTTATATAGTGAAAAGATGTGTTCACATAGTGATAAGATGTGGTGTTCACATAGTGATAAGATGTGGTGTTCACATAGTGATAAGATGTGATGTTCACATAGTTATAAGATGTGATGTTCACATAATTATAAGATGTGATGTTCACATAGTGATAAGATGTGATGTTCACATAGTGATAAGATGTGATGTTCACATAGTGATAAGATAAGATGTGATGTTCACATAGTGATAAGATGTGATGTTCACATAATTATAAGATGTGATGTTCACATAGTGATAAGATGTGATGTTCACATAGTGATAAGATGTGGTGTTTACGTAGTGATAAGATGTGATGTTCTTATAGTGGTTAATGTATGGTGTTCATATAGCACAATATGATGTACAATATGGTCGTGACATACAGTGTTCACATAGTGAATTTTGGTGCTATAAAGTATATAGTAGAGCATTTACTATATTTACATTAAGGAACGTACCATATTTTTACTGTTTGCATCGGCTCCCTTCTCCAACAGTGATAAACATATGTTTTCGTTTTCAGCAGCAGTTTCACAAGCAACTAGAAATACTGGGTCACCATTAATGTTCTTATTGTTGCTATCAGCTCCACATTCCAAGACAATACTAGCACATTTACTATGCCTACTGGTGGGCGTCAAACAGTAAAACAATATATCTACAAAAAACAATAAATTAGAAAAAATTAGAAAATTATAAAACAGCATATTTTTGGTTTTGTATTAAACACGTATGGTGTTCACCCATACTAGTATATAGGTGATTGCAGCAAAGAATATGATCAGATCTCAAGTGTATATCGCTATACTATAATGTAAATTGAACCATATGTTAACTTCCATGGTTAAAGAGAAGGAGTAGTTTCTTATTTTTTGAGTGAAAAAAAAAGTATTTTTACATAGACATTATTGTCTATATTTGTACAGATAAGTAAAAGCTACCATTGGAGTATCACTGTAAGGTTTGGGTAAATTATCACTATTAAAAGTTACATTTAAAATACAATTAAAAAACAAAGTCATTAAAATGGCAATAGTGATTTCATTTTTAAATATGCAGTGGCTGACACATTGTGTCTTGTGTTAATACTACCGGTACTACTACTGCTCTTCATTACCTGTGAGGCATATTATACTTCTACCAAGACTCGTCTTATGCAGTATGCTGTGTCTCGTCCCAAGTCAGTCCTTTGTGTTACTAACAATTGTCAAAGGTCAATTTAACAATTATATTTTGAAATCCCATATTTTACTCCCTCCAAGTATTTGTTGCATAGACTACTCTGAATTCAGCACCAGCTAAATACTGAGATTGTTTTTTCTATTACATGGTGCAATTACATACACATGAGTTAATATTGCTGCAGGGTAGACTGCCTCTATGTTGTTTATACAACACAGCTAGAAACAAAGAAAACAATGTATTCTATGTCATGTGGAACCAGATACATCAAATTATTAAACACTGCTTGCATGAATAGCTGCCACAATATCACTTATGAATATTAGTAAAAAAACAAAGTAGGAAATATTCTCTTTCACACTATAACCAAGAAAAAAATTGGTTAATTCATGATAGTCACAATAGTTTAATATAACATTAATAAGGTGTTATTAAAAGTGGAAACTAAATAATAAAAAACTCATTAGATATATTTTCATTCCAATTTTATTTAAATTACTGTCACGGTAATTTTCCTAGTTGAAGGAAATGTATGCTGTATATGCTGCTGTTCACAGTGACCTATGATTGAAATAGACAATAAATGACGCAGTCAATGGAATATAATGTTATGTTGCTAAGCAACTACGTGCACTAGTGCCTTTCAATAGCAACAATGTTGCTTACGCTAAATCCAATGCATTTTTTTCTAGGTCGTCTCAATATGTATAATTGATTTACAAATATTTCCTCTGTCATTTAAGGCTTGTGTACTTTTACACTACATTACTGTACTATATTTAGAGATGTCTACATGAAATAATAGAATTCAACTTTCTATTGATACATGTCTGTGACTATTATTCAATAATAAACACAGTTATTGCCCGACATACAATTCTTCACTTATAGTTCGACAATTCTCACATATTATTCGTTAAATAAATGAAATATTTAGTCAATATGTGCAATGCATGATTAGTGAATTTATTAATATACTAATATGAAAGACACTACCAGTACTCTCAGCACAACTAACCCATTCCCTCCATCTTTATAAATATTTATAAATTTCAATGGCAGTTAAATACAACCAGCTAATCAATAAGAGTGTCATTTTAAAATGTTCTGACAGATTTGTGAAAATTTATACAGGTTTGATGTATAGTGTAACAATCTTCATAATTCTAATAATTGGGTTTATATTATGAGATACAGAGACTGAAATAATGTATTTGTTTTATTATCTCCAATAGAAGCACATCTAAATCTATATTAGATCATTTAAATAAAACACACGCGCGAGCGCACGTGCACACACCCACCAACCCAGTCACTGAATATAACTGATACAAATCTTAGTATTCTAACAAAGTTTCAGAAATTTAATTAATGTAGTGTTTTATATTCTATGGAAATTTGTTATCAAAATGCAATGTACATTTTCTCAAAACATGCTCAATAGATACTACATTTGAATATGGCTTGTACTTGATTGTTGCATTTCATTTTTACTGCAACATAAGTTATTATTTGCTATACCCCCATCAGAAACCAAAATATTTATTTGACAATGTGCTGTTATTCCGTACTTGTGTGTTTTTCATATGGGTGTATATACCAGTGACAATTTAATGTCTATTTCAATATAAATAGAATGTCTTTTTAATAACCTTGTGACCTTAATAAGTAACTCATCTATCTAGCCTGTGTAGAGCATTATTTTGAGATATGTAAGTCCTTGCTATTGAAAATGAATATAAAATGCCCTTAAAACCAACAAAACATACTTTTTCACTTCATTTTCCACATCAAACATATCATATAATGACCCAATAATTTAATTCCATTCTCTGTACTATTAACTATGACATATGTCACTAAATAATAGCTTTTGCCTTTGAGTCAGGTACTTAAGGTTTCAGCTAATTTCTACAAGGTTGCAAAGACTGCAATCCAAACACAATTGATGTGTTCTCACTTTACGTGACCTCACTAACCCTGTCTGCCAGCTATAAGCATACATTTCATCTGCTCTTTTCAATCTAAAGGATAATATTAAACCACACTTGTGTAATTCACCATGGCAACATGATTATTATGGCTTATATGGAGACTAACAAAGTTCAAGGACGATATAGACAACAGTTTGTAATAATCCTAGGATATCTGGTTCATACCACAGTTAGCGGAATTGTCATGGTTATACCTGGTTATGGCATATTATGAACAACTCAGAATATCCATAAACTGACTACTTTGATCAACTATTAACTTTTATTTGTCAACAACCAAAAACAAATTTGATAAAGAAGGTAGTTGTGTTAGGCACCTTACATTTTATATATACCGTATGACTATCATATGTTGTAATGGTTTAAATATGTAAGGCTTTTTTTCCTTTCAGTTTTTCTGATGGGTAGCATATGAACACATTGCCTCAATTTCATGCATGGGATGGGGTAGGTGATGCACTGATTATATAGATTCTCATAACCAACCAGACATTTTGTGAAGCACTCAAATTCAACCGAATGCAGTGTGATCAACATTATTTTTGTGCATTTTTTTTTATTAATATACATCAACAAAAATATTATTCTCATTTATATAGCCAAAAAAATGAATGGAATTTTTCTTTATGGTGATAAATTATACAGTTCACATTGAAAATCAAACTTTGGTAAGAAGGCAGACACCCACAGCCCTACCACCATCCCAGATACTCCCTTAACATGGAACCCCATCAGTCTAAGTAGATTGGTTGGCAAGCCGAGTAAACACACTAAATGAATACAGACATATATAAAGACTATTGTTTGAAGTAATTTGTGTTGATACCTCTTTGTATATTATTACGATTAAAATTACGCCTTACCTTTGCCTTCCGTGTCTCTTAATTTCATATCAGAACCACTAGTTGCAAGTACTTCTAGAGTCTGTACGTGTCCATATTCTGTCGCCTTCATGGCTGCAGTTCGACCTTTCAAATCCACTACATTAGGATGAGCTCCCAAATCTAGCAAATAACGCACCATGTCTTCGTTGTTATTGATCGCCGCCAAATGCAAGGCCGTCTCTCCATTTGTGGGTTCGCTATAATTTACTAAGTGTGGAACACCATTGGAACAGAGTTTCTCGATTTGTTCCTTGTCCTCGTGTCGGACACATTGCAAAAGTTTATGTACCTGGAGAATTTCGAGTCTAGACTCGGCAATCGGCATTGTCACTGCCACTGGTCACTACAACCACCTGTGTGATCACGACGTTTCTATTTACCCAAACGTCTGGTTCCGACTAAATTCGTCAAAAAACGTCATCCACGGATCTGCGTATTTCCGTTGTGATACGTTTATATAATCCACGATGTTCACACTTGGCTGCCAAAATTGCCGTCAGAGGTGTTGGCACAAGTCGACACAACAAATGAAGCGTACAACTAGAAATAGTTACTTCCTATCGCCATTTCACGGCCGGTAATTTCGCCAATAACTGTTTCCTGGCTTTCAATGCTGTAGCATCGATATACTAGGAAGGTAAAACTCAAGTTCAGATGTGAAAAACAGATAGAAGTTAGAAGTTTGCATTTAGGACCTCACGGAAATAGACATGGAGCAATGGGTGCTTGTTACTATGGTCGCCGTACACTACAAGATGATTTGACTATCAATGGTGGTGATCGGGTTAATTATTATTCTTTCACTGATCGCCATGCTCATAAACATCACGCCCTCTAACGGCCAAATTATGTGCCACATATTCGATGCTACCGTCACCGCGATTAAAATTTATACAAATTTATTTGTTGTTATTTAAATGGCGGCAGTCGTCGTGCCGCGTCTTGTTCGATATAGGACTCATAGCGACGTATACAACGTGTGTAAAATACATTGTTTATTTACATGAAATACGAACACGCGCTGTGCGAGACTACCGCACTTTAAAACAAGAATAGTTCAATCCCTCTTGGATAGCATTTAAATAATTATTTTGAACTAAGAAAACAGCATCTTCCCACATAAATATTACCGTTTTTGTTCATGGTTTAGATATATTTTTGATTACTGGATAATCGAACATTCCTTATTTCATTGCAAATCTTAAAGGGTGATGGCGACTTTGACTTTTGCGCAGACAAATAAGTATAAACTGAAACTTTACTAAGTTTCAACTATGTCATTTCTTTAGTGATTGGAAGTTATCGAAGAAGACACTAGCCTTCATCAAAACACATACTGATGATTCCCATTAAAAGAGTGCACTGGATTGTGGGAAAATCAATGTTTATCAACAAAAATGTTGCACATGCGCGGCACGCTGAACACTGCTCTTTAATGATCAACTTTATAATCTGCGAGTGTGAACAGAGTAAATTTAATAGTGAATTATCAAATCTCATGCTTACACTGTACATTGTTATTGTACTACGGTACTTCACAAAAACAAAACAAGTCTTGCTCATGTGTTAGGCAATTATTTTATTTCCCCATGAATTTATAAATCATTATACACTGTTTCATAAAGGCATGAATGTTTGAAACAACCAATCACACCGCACAATAGTAGATACATACTGCCCACCTACACTTTCTTTTGCATGTATGGTAGCAAATAATTGAAGAAAACCTGCAAAGAATCATGGGTATTTCTTTATGATTTCTTTAGCAAATCAAATCATTGTTTTATTTTATTACAATGATCTAATTAAAATAAAAAATAGAATTTGTCTACTTGAAACAAGTCGGTATACGATGAAAGGAACTTTCTCACAGTGTGTATAGTATACAAGATCTTACCTTAGACAATTTAAACTCAGAACATCTGTTGCATTTGCCACGCTTCTAACCATGGAGCCTATTTTCACCAATAACCAAACACTGCATCCACCAACATTAAACACCAGTGGACGTTGCGCCTCATCGTGCACGATACATGTCCCACAGCAACATAAACAACACATGCAAAATACATTGTTTACACAAAATTCAAACACTCAAGGCACTGCATTGCCAGTCATGTTGGACAGCGTGATGGCTCCCACACATAACAGTAGATCTAATTTGCATAATAGTAAGTACATGTAGATCATTTTGGAACAATAACCTTCATTAGCATAGATGAGCACAGCCAACCATCAGACATTGCCAAGTACCAAAGTCTTTTCAGATCAGATAACCATACTAGCAGTAGTAGTAACATTGTATCAGATAGCAACTTAGGCTTGAGCAATTTGCACTCACTTTATGAGACTATATCGCAATTCCTAATTTTAGTGCATTGAGGGATAGCTTTGTGATTTGCATTCGATACCACTTTGATTCAATCAAAACTATCCTCTACCATTACCTCAGTACTGTATAAAACTTTGTTAAATTAGTGATCATTGATATCACACATGTAGGTTTCACAGGCCATGTTTTATAGTTCACATACACACACTAGAATCACACATCAACTCATTTAGAAATAAACCTTATACCACTTTTGTTCTGGCCATATGTTTATTGTACTATTGTTTGCCTTGATGCTATTGTTCTAAATATGCCGTTTATTTTCCATAACAGAGTTTTCCCAGAATTAAATGTCTGATTTACTCATAAATTGAATAGTTTCTTTTTCAAAACGTTTTGACTACTAGTAAATCCAAAAGTTTCTTTGTTGCAAAACTGCTCACATTAACTGGGTAATAAGAACCGATAAGTTCAAAGTTGTTCTCTCATCATGAACACGTGCACACAAGTGCAACTTATTTCTTATTATTTGAAAGAAACATTTTTTTCCAGTGGCAAGACCAATGACTTGTGGCAAACCACGTTTCTTCTTATCAGCCAAGCTGTAATCATTTTCCTGACTATAAAAGCTAGTAAAACACCCGCAATTTATAAAATATAGTAAACATACTCGTATTCAGAGATTTACTGAAATAAATTCTATTGTTTTTGGTAAAACTGAAGTACACAGCAAAAAAAATACAATTTTTTTTCTGTAACTCTGCTCACACTATTTATATGAAGATTGTAGACTGCTACAGTAAATCACACTTGTATAGACAAGACATTGTTTAAGACTGAAACTTTAACAGAGGTGTAATTGTAACTAGTAAATGAGATTAGGATTCAAACTCACAATAGCAACAACAGCAGGTGAGCATCTAATTTACAAGTCATTGAATATGACACAGTCCCCGTTAAATTTCTGAAAGTTCCCTTTGTGCTCGTCATATTAAAGCGGAGGGGTTGTTCTGAGTGTGTCCTTGAAACTTGAGTTCCAAGTGGCGTATACAACAGATTGTTCATTTACATCAAAACACATGTTCCGTGTAGTAGTAATATGGCCAAAAATAAAAACAGCCGTTATTCTGCCATCTTTGATCTGATTATGAAACACACTGATATGTATGATGTATGTGCCAAATACAAATGAAAATGGTACATAAATTGTGGAAATATAGTAGTAAGGCCAAAAAGTCAGATGGCTGTCAATCGACCATCCTTGACCAGATTTTGAAACAAATTGTCATGGACATGCAAGATACCGCATAAAAAAAAAACAAGATGCCTGCCAGTCGACCATCTTTGATCCAATTGCGAAATAAATCGTCAAGGACATGTATCCTAACATGTATAATCTATGTACCAAGTTTGAATGAAAACTGACAAAGCATGTCCAAAAAACAACATATTTAAACAAGCAGCCTCTCGGCTGAGATAGCTCCGCTGTTAGCAATGCACATTTCAATTAAAGAACAGAAGATATCATTAGAAAATGAACAATATGCATAGTATCAATGCTATGGGATTTGCTGTTTTCAACAAGAATTTAAAAATATAATTTTTAACCATAAATGATTGTGGTTTTTAACAGGAAGAAAATATCACTTTTTACCAAAAATGACAAAAATATTCACCAAAATTAGAGAATTAAAGATATCATTACAAAATGAACAAATCTGAGAGAGATCCACATGTAGTACCTATATATGTAGTATCAAAGCAATCGGACTTGCGGTTTTTAACAAGAAGTCGAAAATATCACTTTTTACCAAAAATATTCACCAAAATTAGAGAACTAAAGATATCATTACAAAATGAACAAATATGAGAGATCCATATATAGTACCTATATATGTAATATCAAAGCAATTGGACTTGCAGTTTTTAACAAGAAGTCGAAAATATCACTTTTTACCAAAAATTACAAAAATATTCACCAAAATTAGAGAATTGAAGATATGATCATGAAATGAACAAATCTGAGAGAGGTCTACCCAAGGTACATATACACTAAGTATCAAAGCATTCAGGCTTGTAGCTTTCAAGAAGATGTCGAAAAAGTAAAACATTGACATGGACGCCGGACGACGCCGGACAATCACTCGTATGATAAGCTCCGCTCGACAAAGTCGACAGCGGAGCTAAAAAACAAGATGGCTGCCAGTCGGCCATTTTAAATTAAATCGCTAAACCACTGCATGTGCATATGTCCCACATAAATTACTAGGCACATGCAAAGAATGAACGGAATCGGTCCAAGGGATTCTGAGATATGACTTCGAATGGACTGACGCACCGACTCACAGAGACCGAATTATAAGTCCCCGTTTTCGGACTTCGTCCAAACAGGGGACTAATAAGCTATTGGAGATTTGGTTCATTATTCATGAACAATTTACATAATCAAGTAATTTTTTCAATGGTGCTGAATTAATGAGCACACGACAAAGCATCCCTAAAAAACCTTTTGATAAATTATGTACTGGTCGGTCATGTGAGAGATGTAACCAAAATTTTACTTTTTATTTGGTTTCTTGCGGTACAAGTCAATAGTTGTATACTTTTGTGTTTTTACAATTACCGATATAAACTTAACTGTTGTGGGTATAAAATTGTAAACTCACTGGTTCCTAAGATCCTAATCGTAAACCCAATCTAGACATTAATTTATGAAAAAGTAGATGACTGTGAAAAACAAACAACTTGTGCCTCTTGGAAGCAACCTTCACCTGACTGGAATTGTAGTCAGTGGAAATGATTGGATAGTTTGTTTCCATTTTTTAATTATACCATTATTATTCTAGAACAGTGCTGTTCAACTTCAGGTTACCATATCATTGAGTTGCCATTTCCAAGACAACACACGACGCCATGACTATCTACCAGGCCATGTGTTATGTACATTTTTAACTTATGAATATTATAATAGTAACCCAAACTTTCACAATAAGCACAACAGTTTAATTTTCGGTGAGATCACTCCCCCATTTTGCAAAAACTACACTATTTTTATCACACTTTTTATTTAAAAACAAACAAATTAGCATCATGTAACAACAATTAGAGTTTTATTCCAGAATGCAAAGCATTATACAATGGTAATGTACCTAGTTAGAATGTAAGTATCACACACACCCAAGAAACCATTATTGTATAATCAGATAAATACATTGGATTTAATACAAGGTAAAACACACAAATACAGTAAACTACACTTGAGTACTGTGTTGTAACTATTCAGCTGGAGTCTGTGGGAATGAGGCTTTCCATAGTGCATATAATGTCCAGCCAACCCCAAAGACGGTGCCACCCATTGTAAGACGATAAAGGAGTACATCCATACTGCCCCCTCGCAGATGAACTGGTATGTCTTTATTTGCCTACAAGTGTACACAAACATTAAAATATATTACTATCACATATAATGACCAATTTCTAAAGTCTGGTAAGGTATACTGTATGCTGAAAACACAAACACACTGGGTAATTGAAGCAGTTTAACACTACTGACCAGTGACAGTATGCCACCTGTTCTTGGCAATAGGTTATCAGGGATCTCGCCAGCCCAATGGGAGTGCCGGGCGCTCATGAATATTTATGATCTATGTCATATATGAATATTAATTAATATTCAACATTAATTAAGTCAACACATTATGTTTCACAATTTAGAAACGCAAATGCTGCAGACTAAAAACAGAAACAAACAAATTATTGTTGCAATATTAATGTCTATTGTAAAAGGTTAAAATGAGATGCTTTTGAAACGTTTCGGCCAGGAATATGTTCATCAATTTCATGATCTTATTAATTGACCATATAATAATTTGGCGTATTGCTGTAATTTATTATTTGTACCATCAACCGTTAAGTTGCTGTGACATTTTAGATAAATAAATTTGAATTTAATTACAGACTGTAATATGTAAATACAGTGTTCTCCCCAGAATGTAAACAGCGTGGCGGTCCCGCCACAGTGCTTCGATTTGCCGCCACACCGGTCTGACACCGCCACGGTGATTAGCAAGACCGCCACAGTGCTTTTTTCATTGGGGATCTCGTCACGCTGGTCGGCCCGACCGGCACTCAAAATTAGCGACCACCACGGAAACGCATCCGACTATTGTAATATTGTTATTATACTTGCGTACCGACCGACAAGCATCCTGCCAGTCGTGGATAATAATTTGTAAACAATAGACATAGTCGTGCGATGTGGTATCGGCTTTAAACAATACAAGTCAACTTTGTAAAATTAGCACCTTTTTGTTTGTAAGTAAATATTTTCTGACGATAGATGCAGTCTTTAGATTGATAGCTAAAATTC